AGCGCCTGACCCACAAGTTTGTCCTGAATGTGACGGATGGCAGCTTCAGTGCCACTCTTCTGTCAGACCAGCATACCTCGTCAGACCAGCATACCCATAGTCAGTACCCGTTTATCCCTTTAGTTTATCCCTTTAGTCATGTACAAAAAAACTATTTAATTACCAACTTTTTTTTTTTAAGCGTATGACGATTTGACCTTAAATAGTTTTTTGTTGTAGAGGACTAAAGGGATAGACGCCCGTTAAGGTAGTTTAAAGTCTATTTTTCATACAAAACTAAAGGGATAAAAGCTTATCTGCCATCTAGTGCTGCGTTTTGACTATAAGTATGCTGGTCTGACGAGGTATGCTGGTCTGACAGAAGACTGGCACTGAAGCTGCCATCCGTCACATTCAGGACAAACTTGTGGGTCAGGCGCTCGTTCTGAGGAGCATGTTTACAGTTTGCTGGCTGAGAACGCCGTGTGCTCAGAGTGAGACCTGCATCAGCAGCGCCTCCCTCTGCTGCAACAGCGGAGCAGGAAGGAGCAGCTCCACGCCCACTCCCACCGGGTTCACAGCAGCCTCAGCCAGCATGTCCTCATTCTGCAGTCACAGACATTCAGCTGCTTCCAGCAGGAGAAGGAGAACAGCAGAAACCCCCCCCCCAACAAAATTTATATAATAAATATATCAAAACAAAAATAAACAGATTTGAAACTAAAGAGAAATTAATTTTTTGGATTCAATTTTTTATTAATCTTTGATTAGGTTTTTCAAACTGTGAGCCCCTTGGCGTGGGGGGCGGGGCTTAGATGACATGATGTCATCTCAGAATGAATCCAGCCTTAAAGGTTTTTAAACATCAAGCAATGTGTTCAGTTTGCTTTGACCCATATAGAGGGCGGTGGAATCCCTGCTTTAAGGCATGGTGGTGGAAGCATCATGCTGTGGAGCAGGAGGAAGCTAAACATGAGCAGAATGAACGTTCCGGGTCACTCCTGCCGCTCCTCTTCTTTAATCTTCATCACTAATCTGTTAATGCTGGAATAATGAATCAAAGCCTCAGTCGGAGCCATAACATCGGTCACCATGACGACGCTTTTATCTCCTCCCTTCTCAGCTTCCCAACATGTTTGGAGACCTGAGGTCGACCTTCATCGCCCTGATGATCGGATCCTACGCTTCCTCCGCCGTCACCTTTCCTGGGATCAAGGTGAGCTCAGAGCGGAGCTCTGCGTCTGGCGCTCATGTTTTCCACCGAGCTGCTCTCTGTCCCGTTCCTCCATGTTCAGGTTCCGTTTCTGTCTTTGTGTCTCCAGGTAATTTATGACCTGGGCGCCGCCTTCATCTCTATCCTGCTGGTGTGGGCCGGCTGCGCCTGCCTCGTCTTCCTCAACTGCTTCATCAACTGGCCGCTGGAGCCTTTCCCAGGACCAGAAGACATGGACTTCACGTAAGACACGCTAAAACCTGCTAAGCCCGCCGTTAGCTTTAGGCTAACCTCCACGGCTAACTGGTTTCCATATTGTATCTTGTAATCAAAAACTGGTCTATTTTACTGGTTTTATATGCGATAGAACTGAAAGCAGAAAATCATTTCTATTTGCCGTACTTTTAGCATCATCCATGTTTCCATCCCTCAGCAAGGCACTGCCACCACCATGCTTCATGGTGTGGATTAATTACTCTGTTCCCGAACTCGACGTCACTTTATTCCCGTTTGAGTCCTTATTCTGCAACGAAAAGTTTGTGCAAAGCGAAGATAATGGAACAAACTTGACTCCATAGTTTCTAGAGAACATTTGCAAAAAACAATTAATCCAGAAATGAAACAGAAAAAATTTTTTTTTATAAAAAAATAATAAAATAAAAGTTTTGAGAGTAACTTTTTTTTTTTTAGAATATTTAAACATTTTCAATGTCTTTTTAACATTTATTTTCACTTTTTCTAATTCATTTATACAAATTTAGTTCATTTTTAAATGATCTTTATTCTGGGGGCGGGGTTTCTTCTGATCTGAGGAGGGAAGACTCGTTTCTATTGGTCTGCTGGATGTTGGCAACGTTTGATTGGTCAAGTGGGAGCGAATGGATTGGACAGGAAGTGAAGCGAACGGGATCTGGAATTTTAAAAACAAAAACTCAGTAAGAAAAAGAGCAATTTGAAAAAAATAGAATGTGGATATATATATAAAAATTATAAAAAGATGAAAAAATAAAATTGAAACAATAAAAAAGAATCAAATTAACTCGGAAACTAAAAACAACAACAAAAAAAGTAAAAAAATAGATTTTCAGGAAAGAAGTTGCCTGTTCAGTAAATCCTGCAGTCAGGCAGCAGGTTCCTCTGAAACCTAAAGATGAAGGAAGATAAAAGCAGCAGATTTCTCTCATGAAGGTCTTTATTCTTCCCGCTGTTCGCCGACATTCCCCCTCCTCTTATTTCCGTTCTCTCTAAAAGCCTCTTCTCTTGTCTTTCCCCATACATGCTCCCTTAGAGTGAAGATTAAGTTTAGCTGGCTGGGCTTTGACCACAAGATCACCGGGAAACAGTTTTACCGGCAGGTGACCACGGTGGGGCGCCGTCTGAGCGTGGGCCACGCCATCAAGCAGCCGCAGCAGCCGTCCAGAGACCTGTCGGCGCAGGACGCCAGCAAACTCTGCCTGTCCACCGTCGACCTGGAGGTCAACTGCAAAAGCAATGAAGAATGTGAGTCGCCACAGAGCATCTAAACTCTGAAGGGTTCCTTCTGATTGGCCATTCACTGCTGCTCTGTTTGCCTTTTCCCATCTGAGTAACGTAGGTCTTTAGCATGCTACCAACAGAGCTAGCACCAAATATGCAGCATGTGCCTAAATGATGCGTAGCGAGTAGAATCATGGTGTTTGGGTTTGCTTTGCTCCTCAGATTCCTGCTGAAGGAAATTATTCAATATATTATTGGTATCAATTCTAACCTATAGAGAAGCATTGATAATGTAAAGCTTGCTGCACACTTCCAGTCAGCTGGCTGAAAGGAGGCTGCTTTTTCTGAAAAAGGTTTGAATTGAGCTGTTTTTAAATATTTCAAGTTGTAAAAAACACTATTTTACTGGAACAATCCCTCTGAAATGGTCTGTAGAGTTAAATAGTTTTTATAGGAGAGAAAATTAAACGGCTCGTTAGGATTAGTTTCTCTACCACTTTTTACAACCCTTGTGTGTACGAACGTCTAAGTGGATGTAGCGTTAGCGACATTAGCA